ACGTGAGCAGTCTCATGCTTGGTTGGGTAGGCCTCAGTCCATCCAGAGAAGGTGTCTATGAATACTAGTAAATATTTATATCCAAATTTTCCCTGTTTGATCTCAGTGAAATCAGTCTCCCAATACGTACCCGGTCGTGTCCCTCTGCTCCGGGGTCTTGGGTTAGCATGGGATGGAGCTGAGTTGGTTAATTGGCAGGCATGACAATGCCTAACAATTTTTTCAATGGCTTGATTTCCTTCCTGAATTTTAACTTTGGCCCTTCTTAGTAAATCTTGCATCCTTCGGGTGCCCATGTGTGATGCTTGATGTATTTTCTTGAGCAATCTTACACCTAAATTCTGAGGTAGGATAACTTTTCCATCCATTGTTCTCCACCAGCCCTCTAGGCATTGAGTCATAGCGAGAGTGTGTATCCAGGGTAAGTCCTTGGGGCTATAGTGGGGAGTTTTAGGCAGTTCCCTTGCTCTTGGATCAACAAGAATGGGTAGGATTGTGGAGGTCAGGGCTATTTCTTTAGCTATCCTGTCAGCCTGATTATTTCCCTTCTGGGTGGGGTTGTTTCCTTTTTGGTGACCCGGGCAGTGGATTATGGCTAGTTTTATTGGACCCCAGAGGGCTTGCAGGAGGTCTAAGATCTCTTGTTTATTTTTAATAGTCTTTCCCTCTGAAGCAAGGAGGCCCCTCTCTTGGTAGATGGCCCCATGAATATGGGCAGTGGCAAATGCATATCTGCTATCTGTATAGACATTGAGTCTCTTTCCTTTACCCATCTTTAGGGCTTTGGTAAGCATGATCAGTTCCTCTTTTTGGGCCGATGTACCTATTGGCAGTGGCTCAGCCCAAATGACTCTCAAGGTGGTTGTGACCGCTCCCCCAGCATGCCTTTTACCATTTCTGATGAAGCTGCTTCCATCCGTGTACCAGGTTTCTTCAGCGTCAGGCAAGGGAACATCCTTCAGGTCAGGTCTCATGCAATGCACCTGTGTCAGAGTTTCAGTACAGTTGTGGAGTGGGTCCCCAAGATTGGGATCTGGCAACAGCATGGCTGGGTTCAGGGCCGTTGGTACCTGGAAGGTGATCCTGGGTGGATTTAGGAGCAAAGCCTGATAATGAGTTAATCAGGCATTGCTCAACCATTGATCGGGGGGTTGCTTGAGTACCCCCTCGAGGGCATGAGGGGTTGCCACAAGCAGGTCCTGTCCCACGGTTAACTTGTTAGCATCCTTAACCAGCAGGGCCACTGCTGCTATAATTCGCAGGCAGGGGGGCCATCCACTTGCAGGAGGTCTAAGATCTCTTGTTTACTTTTAATAGTCTTTCTTTCTGCAGTAAGGAGGCCCCTCTCTTGATAGATGGCCCCATGAATATGGGCAGTGGCAAATGCATATCTGCTATCTGTGTAGATGTTGAGTCTCTTTTCTTTACCCATCTTTAGGGCTTTGGTAAGCACGATCAGTTCAGCTTTCTGGGCCAATGTACCTGTTGGCAGTGGATCAGCCCAAATGACTCTCGAGGTAGTTGTGACCGCTCCCCCAGCATGCCTTTTACCATTTCTGATGAAGCTGCTTCCATCCGTGGACCAGGTTTCTTTGGCATCAGGCAAGGGAACATCCTTCAGGTCAGGTATAATGCAATGCACCTGTGCCAGAATTTCAGTACAGTCGTGGAGTGGTCCCCAAGATCGGGATCTGGCAACAGTGTGGCTGGGTTCAGGGCCGTCGGTACCTGGAAGGTGATCCTGGGAGGCAGAACCCCATGGTACCCAGGAATTCCCTCACCTGTTTTCTGGAGGTCAGTGCAGCTATCTTTAGCACAGTCTCTTTGCGGGC